TTAGGCAATGTGGCCCCTAACCGACACATAAGCCCCTCCTGGTGTCAGGGACCCCGAACATTGCAAATCGCGGACCCCGGCCTCGTTTCCGTTTGGGAAATAGGTCCCATGGGCTTGGACAAACGTGGAGCCGACTGTTCGGTGGTTGTGGTCTCCGACCGACTTAGACACCCGCATTGTCTCAGGGGCTCCTGAAACGGTGCAAGATGACCTCTGGCTGATATTTCAGGTCACGACCCTACAGGCCGCGATTCTTTATGTGACCTACATCCAGCCCTTCGGGCCCTTATGACCTCCAGCCAGGCCTTCGATCATCGGACCGGGTGGGCCCTCTAGGCCCCTCAGATCTCCTCGAACATTGCCTCTGGCCGACTCGGGGTCCCTTGACAACACAGGGCCCCTGTTAGGCGCTGTGGGCCCCGAACAATATAAATCGCTGACTCCGGCATTGTCCCTGCTTGGGAAATGGACCCTCAGGCCCATGTCGCCCCGGACCCGACTGTGCATTTCTGGTGGCGTCTGGCCAAAATATAGGCCCTTATCGACTTAGTAAGCCCCTGATTAACGCGCAGGATCCCCTAGCTGGCATATGAGTGCCCAACCCTGCGGACCGGGGCCCCTGAATAAGACCTCTGGCCGGCTTTTCGGGGCCTTTGGGCCCTCAAATCAGGCCCTAAATCGTGCTTTCCGTGCTATAACCCCCTCTGCCTGCGCTACTGATCCCTAGACACAAGGAAACTTAAGGATTACGCAGACGATACTTGGTTCAAGTCAACTTAGAGTCTAAATTTTGACATTTGAATATTCCCTGGTGTCTGCCATGACGGCATCATCTGACATCACTAGCCAGTACTGTCAAACGGTAAAAATTATGTTACACATGTCCGGCAGCACCTCACGCATCCCATTTTCACAACTTAGGTGGGCCTTGTTTTTCTTTAATCTCAGCTTGCAGCCGCTGTCCACAAATGAAGGAAATATTTTGATACTGACAATAAATTTGCAGCGCCTTTGTGCAGTATTATATCATACCCAACGTCCTGATGTCATGACCAATCCCAAGAAGCGCTACAACACATCGGGAAATCCTGGCAGAAAGGGAAACCGAGATGCTAGCAGTATGGGAGGATGGACATGACCGTCCAGACATGGTGACGTTAACTTGGCATATGCTTTAGTTGGGAGGCTGGGTTGTCACTGGCGGCACTCCAGCAAACACCGATGCTCATTTTGGAGAGTGGGACTCGGCTGTCCGGTCCCCAGCACACGAGATTTCTGGGGGATGTTGTAATCTTCTGTGTAGTCACTCCCCATTTAAGAGGGCGTATAAGTCCTTTGTGTGCCAGCTATCTATTTGTGAGGGTGGTTACGCACAGTGCTTTATTATTGCAGCCGGATTTTCCAGCTTGTGAAGTCGGTTAAATTTCGTCGCTTGAAATAAGCAACGCTAGGGTGCGAATATAGCACGCTTGCTAGGCTTTCAGATTTGTATGCTCCAAACGGATGATTTGCCGTTTGTATGCTCTTTTCCCCAATTATGTTCTGTCGTAACTGGATGTTCACCGGCCCACGGAAAGGTGCGCTCGTCGCATGTGCAGTGCACCCACCAGCGCCAACCTCCGCATCGGTATATAATTTGCTTGTCCGCATCGCAGGACAAAACTGAGAAAACTTGAGCGGAGAAACACTGCAACAAATGTTAAACAGCTGGCTAAAAATGCATGTCCAAGTTTAGGGACGTTAGAAGGTCCGGCGTACGTGCCTGATCTATGTCAGCCAAAGGTTACCCATAACTAATCCTGTCCCCGTTCCGTATAGTCAAAAATACGTGTAAAAAATACACCCTACAAGAAAGTACAAAGAGATGAACCGCAACGTGGAAAGATCCTTAGCGATCGGATTGCCCCAACAAGTGGACATATAGGACCAGGCAACCAACAGCGTAATACCTCTAGACAGCGCAATCAGCTCCAAAGTTTTCCCCAAGCAACACTTTCTAAATCAGCAAAGGATTAACTTTGTCTGTTTATGAACTCTACTTTTGCCAGCAACCACGCTTGGCCCTCTATAGGCCCAAAGACGTCCAATTGTGTTGCGTGTGATGTTTTGTTCGAGAACTGCGTCCGTTCGGCTGGTTGTGGGCTTCTTTGCAGCATATCGGCCCGCTCAGCTTGGTTCATGGGGGGGGGGGGGGCATGGTCCCGTGCGTTCTCCCCCCCCCCCCTTCTGTATCCGCCACCGGCCCGCGCAGGCTACTAGATGTGGCCCGCCAAGAAACTAGGGCCGCTCATTCAAATAAGAAGTTACCAAAACACGGCATGGAGAGCCTCAATGATCGAGTGTACCCGAGCAGATCAACAAATAGGGCTCCTAACAAGAGCACAGGACCCTCCATTCGAATGGAAAGTGTTTAAGACCCCATGCAAATGACTTCAGAATGATGGAATGTGCCCGAGCAGCTTATCAGAAGGTGCCCGACAAGAACGTAGGACCCTCCATTCAAATGAGAAGTGCCCAAAACCCAGTGCGAAGGGCCCGGAAAGATAGGTATGCGCGAGCAGATTATCAGGTGGCCCAGGCAGGAGTGTATGGCCCTAAATTCAAGTACCAAGGCTCAATATACAGGGCCCCAAAGCAATCCAGTGGGGTAGAAGCGGCGAACAGAAACGGCCTCCGACAAGTGCGTAGGGCCCTCCATTCAAATAGCATTAGGAAGTACCCAAGACACAATGTGGAGAGCCCCAGGATATTCGAGTGTGCCCAAGCAGGTTAACAGATGGTGCCCCGGCAAAAGCGTATGGCCTTCCGTTCAGATTTGAAGTATCCACGACACGATGTAGAGGGCCCCGAATAATCCAGTGCGCAGGAGCAGGTTAACAGATGGGGCCCCGAAAATAGCGGAGGACCCTCCATTCAAAAAGGAACCACCCAAACCCAGATGTTGAGGTCCCCCACGATCGAATGGGTCCGAGCATCCTATGAAAAGGGGCCCCGACAGGAGCGTAACGCCCTGCATTCAAAAAAGAAGTACCCAAAACCCGGTGCGGAGGGCCCCGAAAGATGGAGTGTATGCAAACAGGTTATCAGATGACCCTGATAGGAGCAGAGGGCCCTAAATGTGCAGGGCCCCCTGAGCAATCCAGTGTGACCGAGAAGGTGAACAGAGGGCCCCCCCCCCCCCCGACAAATGCGTAGCTCCCATTCAAATGGCGCGTGCCCAAGGCTCAATGTAGAGGGCCCCCGAACGATGGAATGTACCCTATCAGGTTATCAGATAGCCCCCCCCCCTCCACAAAGAGCGTAGGGCCCCCCATTCAAAAAAAGAAATACCCAAGACCCGGTGTGGGGGTCCCCGAACGACGGAGTGCGACCAAGCAGGCCATCAGATGGGCCCCCGACAAAAGTGCATGGCCCTAAGCAAGTGAAAGAGAATTGGAGGCGCCCTAGACATATGTAGAGGGCACATGATCATGTCGCAAGTGCGTCGGTAGGTTAACCGAGACCCAGGTAAAGGGCCCCTGAGCAACCGGGAATACCCCGGCAGGTTAAGATGTGGGACCCCAACCATAGCACACAGAGCCTTATTGGCGAGTGGAAAGAATCCGTGGAGGGGCCCGTGATTGACAAGAGTGCCCCGGCACGCTAATAGGAGGAGCCCCAACAACAGAGCAGGGCCGTACGAGCAAATGCAAAGAAATGAAGGGCAACGTGGAATGCCCCTTTACCATCGAAAGGATGCTGCAAATGGGCATATAGATCCCCCGAAAATAGCATGGGTCCCCTTGACAGTGTTACGAGGCTTAAAATTTCCAGGTCACAGCTTTTCCAATCATCATATTTGTTGACAACCCAAAGCCCCTTTACCTTTACTTACAACTGTTCTTGGTCGCCTGGGAGTCCAGATATCCGATTTTGTTGCGTTTTGTGAAAATAGCCGCACCTGTTTGGCCGGCTATGGGCCCCCTCGGAGTCAATGGGCCCCTTTGGGTTCCAAGTGGGGCGCATGGCCCCGTGGTTCCCTCTGGATCCGACCTTGACCAGAGCTTTAGAATTATGCGTTACTGCGTGCTTGACGTGTTCAAGGGACATAGATGACGCGGCCTGCGACATAGTCTGCGAAGATAGGTGGCGCGTGCAGCGCAGGGAGCGGACGTCTGCCGCGTCCTGCGTCTAGCAACAGCGTGCCACTTTCTCTACTGTGCCACTTTGTTGAAGTGGAAATAATGAGCAAAAAAAAAAAATCATTAAGCGCTCCGGATGAAAAAGCATGAGTGCTCACAGATGGACTTACCCACTATTTCTTGGAGTCGCGTCAAGGGGCGCGGGCAGGAAAGGGGAGGGGAGCTCAGGATAACTTGACGTTGGTTCCGGGGAGTGCGCGCTACGTAGAGTGGCTTTGAGTCAGGATTGATGAATAAGGATTCGGAAGACGGGCCTGAAGGGCTGGTGGAGATCGTTTTAAGAGACTTTGATTCCGATGGACGGCACTGAAGGCCAGGACCAGCGCGGTACGGTACAAAACGACCTCTGGCCAAATGTCTGGCCCCTTTAGGCAACAATGATCGTGTGTCGTGTGGCGATCGGAAACAAACTGTCGGCCTCTCGTCGGCCCGGGGATCAATTTTCCAAGCAGGGAAAATGCAGCGACCCACGAATGGCAGCAAAAGGCATTGTTGCATTTGTCGACGATCCCTGTTATGATCCCCATGCTGGCCGCGACGACGGCCAGCGTGTCGGTCAGGGGATCAACCGTGTCTGACTGAAAACTGTAAGCTTTTCAGAAATCATATTTTGTGCTTTTTGGTTGAAAATGGATAGGAGGCTTTTTTACATATATTGTCTTTTTAACACAATAAATCCTTCACAGCTTGACCATTCTGCATCACTGCTGTGTGCACAATGGAAGGGAACCATTACGAAAGTTTACTTGCCTCGTCTCTTTGTGAATGAAGACGAGGAACGTTGTCATGCGCCGTAGTTGAATTGGTGAATGACAAGCCGCGGCAAATGCCATGACATCTTGCGGGTAGCATTATAGCAGGAAGTAGTGGTGTGCGCACAGGCCTTGTTTTCCTGCAGTAAATTACAACATCAAGACGTTTGGAGAGTTGGTCTTAATATTTGGAATTTTGAATCGCTGCCGAGCTTCTGCTTATATCTTTGAAGATGTCTGCAGCTACCGCATTAGCTCCAGAGCCCTCGTCGACCGGCTTTTCGTTTGACAATTGTCAGAGGTAAGTGGCTTAAGTGTGCTAAGTATTACGCACTGGGAAAAGAGGAAACGGGTGAGCTTTGCTAACATGTGCAGTCTTTATAGTGCAGTAACAGTTTGCTTAATCATGTGCAGTCCACATGCGTCGAAACAGTGATTCTCCCTGTTTTCATCTCTTTTCTTAGGTTCATCTGTGTTGATCCAGTTATGGGCACCGTACAACAAGCAGTTGTGAAGCCCTGGGCCAAATCAACAACAGAAACGTAGTTTCATGGCAGGAAAACAACAGTTATTATCCTTCCAAGGTGGTGTGAATGAATGAAGGTTGAAATTTGTTGTATTTTAATTTGTGCATGTTGGGGAAATTGGTCCCTGAGGGGTATTGGTGGTCCGTTACATAGATGTTGATTACAGGCACTATTCTGCACAGAGTGGGAAATTTAGTTTTTTTTGCTGGTGGCGGAGTACAAAAATTTTTGTGGTCGGAGTACAAACTTGCCTGCAAGCAAAGGTCTGTCTAATGTGGAATGAGTGTCTGCACAATGGGCCTTGCTTGGAGTACATCACATACTGCCTTTAATGGCTCAACATTTCCCCAATGTTTTTCTGGCAAAAATTAGTGTCAGCATGCAATTTTGCATTTCCGTGGAACAGAGCACCTCTTGTGAGTGAGGGTGCCACACTGATCCCATCCATATCTCTGTAGTGCTACTAGCTCACCTATACATGCAAAGATTGCTTAATGGTACATGTTAATAAGAAATATACAGTTGAGAGGTTAACAACAAAACTTTATACGTATGCATTCACAGGTGCATCATACAAAGCTCAGTTACTTATCATTACCTATCTACATGCAAACTTACACAATATCAAAATGATAAATCAGGTGCATCCTCTGCTTACTGACAAACTAAGTTGCAGACAACCACTGTGCATCACACCCTGGTTTTTTAATGAGTCTTGGGCAGATGCAACTGTCTATGAAAGCCTTATGTATGTGGCATCACTAACATGTTGTCCTTTTGGCCTTTACATAATTAATATAAACATACCAAAAGTGTTCCTCTTCCTATCCTTCTCTTTCTGCTCTTCTCCTCTTTCAGTTCCTCACCTTCTCTTTCTGTCACTTTTCTCCTTCCACTCCTCCTCCACTTCTGCTCCTCTTCTCTTCCTGCACCTCCTGTTATCCCTCTCCTCTTCTCCAAGTTCCCTATGATCTTATGTAGGGACAATTTTAATACTGCCACTGCAAGACCTTATGCCTGACAGCAAGGAACATAGCAGCATTGCCTCCTGTCAGGTTACAGCAATTATAACCACAAGCTGAAAAGAGGCCAGCCTCATATTTGACCCCACATGGGAAACCCAAGCCTAGCATTTATGTTGTATATGGATACCTTAGTACCTACGTACCTACCCACCATGCTGTAGGTAGAGCAGGTTATACCAAGGTGATTCTGCACCAGCCTGCAGTGGTAAACATTTATAGATCAGTCCCCCAGTATTTATTTACCTTTTTGGAATGACTTAATAGCGGTCCAAAACTAAATCCCAAGTAATTTTAGAAGTGTGGATACATGCTGTGTGAAAACTGAAGACAACCAATTCCACTTTGTCTCACTGAATACCTCAAATTCGCAGCTACGATGCACATAATCCCAAGCATCTTCACTCACCTTCCGCCCTCCTCACTCCCACCACATCAAGACAAACAACCAAACCATGCACAGGAGTTCTGGCGCATTCACAGACATTGTGATGGCATTCTAGCACTCGTCAATGGGCAACCAAGCACAAGTACCACGGGTCGGTCCTGAAATGACAGGCTGTGATGAATAGTCTAAGAAAAAACATTTATGCAGTTGCAGCAACACAAATTGTTAAGTTTGCAGTAGAAAAATCATAGAGCCTTTCAGTCATGCATTTAAATTTGCTATTTTCCACCTACAAATATATATTATCTTCTGGTGGCGCAAGACAACGCCGAGATAATGCAGGACCTGTACTACAAATCTATAGATATTTCTCATTCTAAGGCATATAATGCCATTTCAACACCCTCTGAGGAAGGCCCGTATCTGGACGATACCAAAACACGTCAATTTTTTAATTAAATTTGGCTAACTTTGCTAAAAACTTGCTGTTCTCCGGCTTGTACTCCTGGCTTGTTCTCCCCGGGTCTCCCTATAGGCCCCATTGTGAGAAGGGCAACCAAGTACTGCGATTTTTTCCCACCGGGGTATGGACCATCTCTATCTTACAAGTATAGGTACTGGTTGAGCCTGGAGACATGATACCCTTGTTAAATAAGTAAGATATCCTCAAATCTTCAAAGACCGGTACCTACCGATTTCTGAAAAAGTGGTTGACTTACTATCGTTTACACAATAGTAATAAGTTTTGGAATGCTGCATGCCACAAACTCCCATTTTGGGAACGTAATTCCCGATGACATTTAAGAACCCAAAAGAAGCCGTTACCACCAAAAGTGCCGCCCACAAACGTGATATTTGGGTGCCATTTAATGTCATGATTCCATCTCAAAAGTGCCAATATGTGGTGTGTTTGAATGCTATGATTTTGAGTTTAATTGCAAGTTGGATGGTGATTGGTGGCTGGTGTGGCAGGAGCAGGAATGAAACAAGCACTTTGAAAAGGATGTGCAATGCTGCAATCTTTGGAATTTTCCCACCAAACTGTTTGCAAGATGCACGTCCTTTGGTAAAATCGCTAACATGTTATCTTAATATGAGGTAAGTTAAGAGCATAGTTGGCATGCTGGACTTCTTGCTCGGCGAGTCTTTGAGTGACCTAGTTGAAAAAGATGTGCCAGCGGTGATTTTGGTGCTGCTAGTGATTTCTGGTCGAACGAATATTGTTGTAGGTGTCTGTTGCGACGCGGACCTTCACTGCTCGAAAATGCACTCGTCAGTTGCAGGAGGCTGGGCTGCCGCTGGTTTCGGGTAGGGGAGGCGATGGGTTCGTCGCGTGGTGGGAGCCAGAGCCGTGATATGTTTGTCCGTTTCTTGAAAGGTATCGGTAGGTGTGTGCGTCGTGGAAAATGCGGTCTTACTCAGGTGCGCCATATAACTCGTCAGTTGCAAGAGGCTGGGCTGCCGCTGGTTTCGGGTACGGGAGGCGATGGGTTCGTCGCGTGGTGGGAGCCAGAGCCGTGATATGTTTGTCCGTTTCTTGAAAGTTATCGGTGGGTGTGTGCGTCGTGGAGAATACGGTCTTCTTACTTACTCAGGTGCGCCATATATTTTCCCCACAGTTAATGACATGCAAGGTATGTGGCAGCGGTAGGTACTTAAAACAAGCACATTTCATAGTCCAGTTTATTTCATTCCCACAGAAGTAACTCACATGAGTTGTCATCACCATTCAGGAGTTGCATAGGCTTGTACAAGTGCATCTAACCCATGTAATACAATGATGAAGGACATTAACATGAACGCCCTCGATTGGCCAGCTCCTGCAGGATTGCAGATGTTTGTCTCCATTTCTTGGTGCTCCATATGTTTGGTCCCTGGAAATCAGATAAAAGTTATAACTCACTTTATGAAAGCAAAGTTCATGCACCCTCCTGGCTATCAAGAAAGCAAAACTGTCTGCCTTGGTACTTATACTCAGGCTCATACATTTGCAATGGTGTCTGCTTGTGGGGCGACTGCAGTGTTTGTCTGGAGTACAAAAATTGTCATTCTTACCAGTCAAGAGCCTGGAGTACAAAATTTCCTGGTGTCACATCCACCAGAAAACGGAGGTTTTTCCCACACTGATTCTGCATGATGATTCAAGTGTTGATTTGAATTTCTTGACAGTCAGAGGGGTTTCTCAGGCCAATTTGGTCCAGGATCAGTGGCAATGATGGGATTGTAATGTATCATCTCCTAGGTTGGACATTCTGCCATGGCATCACACATTGTGAATTGGGGGGGGGGAATGGGGCAACCATGGTGGTGTGTTGCATTATAGAGCACTGCATAACATGAATGTGCTGCTACATACATGTGAATGCCTGTGTAGAGCTTGGATTTGGTGATCACTGCCAGCAGATGAGCTAGGCATGACTTTGGTACCTGATCACAGTTTTGATTAATGCAATAATTCATGCATCTGAATTCTGAATATAGCTATTCTGGGCCTCTTGGAGCTGCTTATGCTTTTGTGACCCTGTGTGGCATTCAACATTTACATAAACTTACCTGAAAATAGCATGATCCTTGCTGGAGAAGAACCTATTAATGGTTTAATGCAGTCACCAGCAATTTCAGTGCATGGAGAGCCCAAGTTTTACTGAACTGTATTATTGCAGAGCAAATTTGGAGCAACATACCTGCAACACATATTTCCAAGCAAAATAGTTCAAAACATAGCACAAACCTGCATTCAATGTGCATGACTCTGGGTTCAGTGCACTGACATCACATGAATAGTTGGTGCTGTGGATGCATTTTTTGTAGATTTGGCTGCAGCACAGCTCCTTGAAACTGTTTAACTGTAAAAGCTGGTACCGAATAATTTTGCAAGTGTGTTACCTGATTACTAGGAGGCATTATCAATCACAAAATGGCATTGCAATGTGATAGAAAGTGGTGCTAATGATAAAGAAAATCCAGTCTGAAGAACTCTTGGAGCAAAAATCAAAAATGGTTCAGGGAGAGCTGATTTGTGAAAGAATCATTTTTGCTGACCTGCCAATAGTACCACCAACTATATCACCCATATTTCTGAAGCAGGCTTTTATGTTTTATGACAGATGAGAGTGCTGCAACAATCTTGAATCCATGTTTTAGGGTAAGCTGTTGATTACAGATGGGAAATAGCACAAAACTGCATGTAAAGCTGTATTCAGCACTTCTTAATCAGATTTAGGAAGGCAAAATACTGTACATCCACTCACGTCCAATGTACGGCAGCTCCTGTCGCCGGCTCAGCTGAGTTTGGCATTGGCAGCAGGAGGACAGGTGTTGACTGGGCAGGGTTGTGGGGTGCAGCAGGACTGGCGGGTTGCTGCCACTCGTCGACAGGCTGTAGTCACTTCGGTCGATGTTGACTTGAGAGGCTCTAGGGGAAGCGCTTAGACATGGTTTTAGGTCTCTGTGGCGTTAACCACTTATTTTTTAGAAAGGTGTTGTTTTGGAAAATGACCAGGACATGGACTGCAATGAAAAAGGCTTCATGGCAGGCCTGCATCTGTGCACTGATAAAGAGACTTCTGATGACTCAAGAGATGTTAAAGTATCTGTAAAATGTGTAAAAATCGTGAAAATCTCATTTTTTACACCAATATTTATCTACTTCAGTGACAAGCGAATAAATGAGAGGGCATAAGCTGCAACGTACGCATACTGCATGACGTCAAGACACATTCGGAGGGTGGGGGGTCAAATTGCCCCCCCCCCCAAAGGTTTTTCCGGAATGGCTTCCGAATGGCGCGGCTACGCCGCGTCATATTTTGCATATCTGTAGACAATTGAATAAGCGAATCGTCTGTTGTCAAAAATTTTGATGTACCATGTAAGGTCGCTGACCTATGGCAGGTTAAAGTTAGGCCATAGTTTCAGCGAAGGCGATTTCTAGGGAATTGTTCAATCTGATCCAACAACGAAGCGTTAGGTGAGGCCACACATCTCTGAGATACTTACTTAGGCAACACAACAGTTGAATGAATGGACAACATTGGCCTAGGGTCAGGAATGAAGGTCAGACCAAGGTCAAGACCAACCTGTTTTATTACCCCCAGGCTTGCTGTACGGGATAGTTTTTGGCACCCATTTGAATTTATTGATAACAGGAACCGCACTATACACCTTCCACAGGCTTCTTCAAGGTCAGAATAGGTCACTGACCTAAAATTACCCAGTTAACATTTTGTTTTTAGGAACACACTTCCTAGCGTAATATCTATTGCTTATTCAAATGCAAAACTCAAAGCAGTCTTGTATGATTTTGGTCACCATGACCATCAATAGGCCAGACAAGGTCACTGACCTTATATAAGTATATGGCCTTTTGTTTAGAGCAGTTGTCTAGGTTCTAGGGGCCCTTTGGAGGCCAACCTGGAGTTTAAACTTGTTTGACCTTATTTCACACGAAGGTCATGACCTAGGAACTTCTATCTTTGACCTGAGTGAGTTCACGTACAGTTATACACCCTGTGAATTTGGTGTCTCTAGCTCTTAGTTGCTGAGATCTCGGGGGGGGGGGGTCAAATTGACCCCTCCCATCCAAGCGAAGGGTATCCAGCCGTTCATAAGCTTCGCTGTGAGTAGGCCGTGCCCCGACTCCTCGCTTAGCACCGAGGAGGAGGCTTCAGTCACCCTCCAGACGGCCCTCTCACCGGCCTGTGTGTACCGGATACGGCGGAGGGCGGCTGGGGGTTTGACGATCCCCTGCAGGTCCTCATCGCTGCGGTCTCGCAACAGCTGTGGTTCGTTCACCTCCACTGAGCTCCCGTTGATGAGGTCCGCGTGCCCTTCAGCTTTGAAGCTGACATCAGGAAGTTGGAAGCTTCCTCGTCCTGTGTCCTTTGTAGACGCGCGGCACGGATGAGGCGGATCGCGTCCTCCAGTGTCCGCCAGCTGTCCTTGGAGGCCATGGCGAACAGCAGCTGCTCGGGGTGGGCTCAGTAGCCGTTCCTCTGCAGCACCGGCCGGATGATGGTCTGGATGTTCCGCGGCTGCAGGCGGAACAGCTCGCCGCTGCGGTGCAGGCTCCTGGCTCCGGAGGTGCAGCCGCTGTTCTGGCGCACCGTGAACCAGACTGGGACGTAGTGGGCCGCGATGAACTCAACCAGCTGTTTCAGCTCAGCAGATGGAGATTCGGCCGATGCGTACAGCCGCAGGAGGCGGGCGGCCATGCTCAGTCACCTGCAGAACAAGGAAATCAATGTTGTATGCGTGTATATTGTATAATGTACCTATATGGGCTGTTCACTGATAACGTTAAGCAAAATCTATCATTTTTAGGCCCTCCCTCCCCTTTGTCACACTGAACCGTATCCCTGTCATGACTGCATCCCCTTTATCAACAAATCAAGATCAATAAATGTTACCAAGAAACCACGAAAAAAAGTTGTTGCCGCTGATTTCGGCTTCAAGGTGCTATACTAGCGCTACCCCAGCACCAACCAAGGTGCTAACCTCCGTCTCGTGCTTCAATTCGTAACGATGTGGATGGCCCCCACCCACTCCCTTCTGCGTAACGTAATTATTGGACACCCCTTAACGTGGAGGGTACAGTCTGCAGAGTACACTCTCCCTCAGGATCTCGTCTGCAGAGTACACTCTGCCTCAGGATCTCGTCTGCAGAGTACACTCTGCCTCAGGATCTCGTCTGCAGAGTACACTCTCCCTCAGGATCTCGTCTGCAGAGTACACTCTGCCTCAGGATCTCGTCTGCAGAGTACACTCTGCCTCAGGATCTCGTCTGCAGAGTACACTCTGCCTCAGGATCTCGTCTGCAGAGTACACTCTGCCTCAGGATCTCGTCTGCAGAGTACACTCTGCCTCAGGATCTCGTCTGCAGAGTACACTCTCCCTCAGGATCTCGTCTGCAGAGTACACTCTCCCTCAGTATCTCAAACAAGAAGTTTTGAACAAAGCACATAATTTAAGACATACTTTGTTCATTTAGATGTTTTTAGTGCTTTAGAGCGATTGGTTTGTTCATTTAGACGTTTTTAGTACTTTGGAGCAATTGGTAGCATTATCGAACGGTCGACGCATTACTAGTGATGTCAAATAAAACGCATTCTAGACTTCTTTTCGCTTACCGAGCGTGGTCCCACGCTCCTTTTCTTCTACTGGCCGTCTGGTCCGGGACGGTGCCGTTTTGAACGGCATGAGCCAGGCGATACAGCATCTCCTGGTCGTGGTTGGGCTGTCGTACCACAGCGGATGAGATCGCTTCCTTGAACCCAGGGACGACATCAAATGCCACCACCTCACGCTGCCAAACATCAGTGGCACACTTGTTGCCGATGGGTTCTGTGAAAGACCGTGGTCCTGAGATGGCCCCGTCCGGGGTGAACAGGACGTGTCGCAGACTCAGCTCATTGGCATGCAACTGGCAGATAAACCATTGACCTGGCGCCCCGGATACGGGCTCGAAGAGTCGACACACTCCGCCAGTCTCGCCAGTGCTCACAGCCGTCCCACCACACCCCAGCACCCTCACTGCCCCGTCGAGCTGTAGACTGGTCGAGTATAGCCCGTTAAGCAAGTCGATGCCTCTCCCGGACTGCGGGCTGAAATGTTTCACGTACCTCTCCTGGCCCCCATGAGGACAGTCACGTGCACCTCGGCTTCAGTAATGGTGGTGCGTTCCACGCATGTTTTGTCTTTCCGTCGATCAAAGTATGAACTGGTCAATCCCGACACCATGATGTCGTCTGCTTTCTCGTGTGCCGTTTCTCGCTTCACTCGGTCCTCGCCGGGCAGGTCTTTCTCGGGTCGACAACGCGGGATCCGTCTTGTGGGCTGAGATGACCAATGTCCTGTTGAATACGTTCATGATCGCGGAGGCGGCCCGATTGGAGACGCCCTATAGCGATCCGTGGTCAGCGCTGTGAGCCGGGTTGCTCACGTTTCGCGGAGGCGAAGGCAGTCGACAAGAAGTCGTCGGCCTCTCCCACAGTAACATCCACGCTCGCATTGTCGCCCCTGTCGAAGCTGCAAGTGGTGTTGCTTAGTCCAGGTACAGCATCAACAGCCTGCCGTTGATGATGACTTTGTCGAGACTCTCTTCTTTGGGGGGGCGCATCCCTCACTGCAGTTGATGTCCTGTCGACGGCTCCTGGAGTAAGCTTCCGCTGGCTACGCTGGTCCTTCACAAATGCCCATTCTTTCCCCGGAATTCCGTGGCTCACTGGGCAAGTGCAAGTTGTTGAGAGCGGCACTTGCACTTGGCGATGTCAAACATTGGGACAAAGTAGGTGTTGTTCATGTTTCGCTTCCCTTCCTCTTCCTGGATTGCTTGGAATTTTTGTTCATCTTTTTAAGGGCATCATATTTCACAGCTCTTACATGTTCGGAGACGTAGCACGGGTTGTGGGTTGGAATACCCTCATAAGACCAGACTTTGATGACCTGTACAGCCACATGACGGAAGATGGATGAATCCAGTGGTTTCCGCGACACAACTCCCTTACCAGGGAGTTGCCAGCGATCTCACGTGATTCATGTCATCGCCTCTCGTTGGCAGCTGTGTATTCTACAGCGAGGCTGGCATGATATGGTGAGTCTGCGAACGCGTTAAATACATTTTTCTACTAAAGATCTGCGCTACAGTAAACCTTTCGTCAAATCAATTCTCCGAATTACTGAGAGCCTGTGAAAAATTCATGCTCATTGGATGAACGTTTTTTGATGTGTAAACAATCTTGGCAGCAGTGATATCACGAATGTTTTCAAATGATATGCTCTATGGAACCGTGTAATAGTTAATATTTGTATTCTATGAGATAATCAAGGTATTTTGCAAGCAAACGCCGTCAAAACAAACACAACACTGCAGATTTTGCTGTAAAACATATCGTAGCATTTTCCAGATAGTGTAATTCTGTCGGCGACCACTAAAACCTCAAGGCATAGGTGGCGCTGAGATCGAAGTTGACACTTCTCGGTGTACGAGAAAGAAATCGCTCTAGCTTGATGAAAACGCATGGGGCATTTAATTTGTGCCAATCAAATTTTTAGCATGTTGCACCACGAAAAATCACACTCCAGTAATAATCTGAGAGAAAACCGCATGTGATGACACACCCTAGTGATTAGGGCCACTTATTATTACCTTGTGTGTAAGCAAAAGATAAAGCATCACCTCACCATTTTAATGCAAAGTCTTGATGACTTTCTGACTCATTTACTGGTTCTAAGAATGAGTGGCTTGCTTTACAGTTCTTATGCAGTTGGTAGCTAATTTAAATGTTTATGGTAATGATCTTGTCACCAGCAACAGCCAAGTTTGGTCTCCATCTAACACACCCCATTCTTTCCAGAAATGCAGCATTTGAAGCGTCTGGCATCAAATTGCCCAAGGCAGTGAAGACGGGCACCACCATCTGTGGCATTGTGTACAAGGACGGCGTGATCCTGGGCGCCGACACGCGCGCCACCGATGGCAGCACGGTGGCGTCGCTCAACTGTCAGAAGATCCATTACCTGGCGCCCAACATGTACTGCTGCGGCGCCGGCACGGCCGCCGATACCGAACAGACCACCAAGCTGATCTCGTCCAACCTGGAGCTGCACTCGCTCAACACCGGCCGCCAGGCGCCGCTCAGCACGGCGCTTAAGATGCTGGCGCAGATGCTGTTCAAGTACCAGGGCCACATCTCGGCGGCGCTGGTGCTGGGCGGCGTGGACCGGCTGGGGCCGCACATCTACAGCGTACATCCGCACGGCTCCGTCGACCGGCTGCCGTACGTCACCATGGGCTCCGGCTCGCTGGCCGCCATGGCCGTCTTCGAGTCGCGCTTCCGGCCCAACATGGAGGTCAGTTACCGCCGCAGCGCGGGCTCTGCTCGCCGCAGGCCGCGACGGCGTCCGGATGTACCGTGCAGGTGTGGTGCGGCACGCGGCGGTACGGCGGGTATCGAGCGACAGCCGCGACTCCGCTTCGTTTTTGTTGCAAATCCGTAGCTGTGGCGGCTGTCAGCTGCGTCGTGTGTATCTCGGCGCATCTGTGTACGGGTCTGCCTGTCTGCATGAGCTGTTGGTGTGTTGTGTGATCGACCCCGGCCCCGCGCCGGGAGCGGCCGGGCTCGCCTGACCTCGCCTGACCTCGCCCGCCGCCGCTGGCAGCTGGAGGAGGGCAAGCAGCTGGTGCGCGACGCCATCGCCTCGGGCATCTTCAACGATCTGGGCTCGGGCACCAACGTCGACCTGTGCGTCATCACCAAGGACGGCGCGCAGATGCTGCGGCCCTACGACAAGGCCAACGTCAAGGGACAACGGTGCGTGCCGTTCCACGCTCATTACACATCAGATTACGGTCTTTTGCGTGCGTACTTTTTGCAACGAAGCTTTTCTCGCAGGAACATTGGCGTACAAATTTTGTGTACTTATAGGTGGTATATATATATATATATATATATATATATATATATATATACAGATATTTTTTACAAAGAAGGTTACTCTGACGAACATGTTCTTACCACCTTTGCGTACTTGTATCCTTCACTGACTGAACAGCCTCTACGTACGTGCGTTTCGCACTTGAACCTAATCCCGGACGAATATTTGTGTACAAACGTTTGCGCACGAAAGACTGCGAGCGAAATTTTTTTCCCATCGAACAATTGTAATACAGACTGAACATAGGCGAACTTTTTTACATTGCCAACTTGACGTTGCGGACTTTGTACCCTACCTACTTTATGCTGGTGAAATTAAGACCTGTGAACTTTATCCTACGAGCAACTGTCAAACAACTCTTTTCTATGTATAGTCTTATGGGCACGCCGGTAAACTGACGCTGTCGCCGTGTGGTGGCCACGTCACGTGGGGCTGCGCCCAGCGCGTGGCCGCGTGGTGACTGGCCGCCGCCTGGGTCCGCAGCCAGGAGCGGTATCGCTTCAAGCGCGGCACGACGGCCGTGCTCAAGCAGCGGCTGGTCAAGTTTGACGTGCAGGAGGAGGTCAGCATGGACACGTCCGAGGCGGGCGGCTCGCTCTGAGGCGACGGCCAACCCTTCACGGCCGCCCGGCGCGGCAGGAGGCGCGGCTCGAGTCGCGTGGCCGCGGCGGGCTCGGACCTGTCACCCGCCCCGTGACTACACCACCAGTGATGAAACCTGTTCTTTGTCCCAAAAATAACACAACCATAACAGCGTAGTGTTTTCCTTCGTGCGGGGGATGGCTGCGGAAGTGGCCGTATGCGATGTTGCCTTTAATTTTGGACTGTGTTTTGCAAGTTCTTCGTTCTCTACACTCTGGCAGCCGCTCACGCTGGGGGCTCTGTGGCGATGCATTCATTACCACAATGGATGACCTCGAGCCACAGTTGAGGTTAGGTCGGTCGGAGGGAATGTGAACGCCCACCAGGGCGGGTTAGGCACCATCCCACGGCGGAACACTGTTGGGTTAGGCACCATCCCGCTGCCTGCGCGTACGCGTGCACGTGCGCATGCCCGTGCGCGTGTGCGTGTACGCGCGCGCGCGTGTGTGTGTGTGTATGACGTTAACTCAGTTTGTACATACAGACAGACAACAGCGTCGGACAGTACTACAGCTGAGTAATCTGAATTCAGCTGTCGTTTGTATGTCGGTACCTTCCTGGTGGAACAATCATGTTGTATGTGTTACATTACTACCTTTAGCATTTTCAATAAGGAAAAGTTGAATATCTAGCTCGGTGAATAAGTAACCAGACAGTGTCCCCTCCCTTCCCCAACATAAGGCAAATGTGACATTAGCCCTATGGCGGTGCATGAGAAAAACTCAATTTTTCTCTCCCGTAACTGGAGTCTGCGGCTTGCTATGGCTCCCATACATGACCACCTGTCTATACGGCTATAGTTCCCAGTATTTCGTCCTGGATCATACCTAGCATTTTCACACTGGTCGTGGTAGTTGTTGATGGCCGTTTCTGGAATAATTGCCCGGGTTTTCGTACCCTGTAGCGTGTTGATATGCATACAACGTTGCAGTGAATTAAACCTCCGGCCGTTGAGAGATGATATTGGGCCTTGGGAAGGATTGTGGGGTGTTAGGGTTTCAGCCACGTACGCATAGCAGCCCAAATTTTCCCGCAGAAATTGCTGCGATTCGAACCGCGATATTCGGATTGCGAGTCCGGTGCTCGGTCAGCTGAGCTGGGTGCTTCCCGGCTTGATCAGTGGGGCACTGGACTTGCAATGAGAATACCCTGGCTTGGATCCCAGCAATGCCGAGGAGAGAATCTGGGTTGTGACGCGTGGATAGCTTAAAACCAAGCGGCATCCAGTCCCTCTCAGGACTCTGATAACACCTGCCAGTGATCGGAGAGGGAACTGGCCGAAACGTGTACTTACCAGCGCACATGGCGGGACGGCAGTCCCTAACAATTATCCATCCGTGATACTGATGCCTTATTTTAATCCTTCCGTAGAACAACGCGGCCAGCTTGTTCCTTTTTTGCTTGTTTTGTGAGATTTGGGCCGGTTCTCAGCTTGTCAGGTTCTTTTGTTATTCACGCGAGTGGTGTCAAGTAAAGCACGGAGCAGGAGTTGCTTGCTCCACTACATGCTTAACTGGCAAACGCGTTTTGACCGTGATAGCAATGCCCATTTTGTATTGCTTTCATATCAAACGTACGGCTGGATAACGCATACAAAGCATCCACGATGCCCTCTGAAATATTATGGCACCACTTTTTATATTCAGTTCTGTAGTAGCTGGCATGAGACTCGAACAGCAGGTGACAGTAACAAACGTTGCGCGTGCGTCACGTTCCGCGACAGAACGCGACTTCTCCAGGTGGTGCCGGCGCCTCGCCGGTCGCCCGGCGCGTCAGCGTCTCCCAGCGCCCGCGGCGGTCCGACTCTCCACTGAGCCGCGCCTCCGCCGTGGCGGCATCACTTCTTGTGCACGATCAGGTCCCAGGAGGTGCGCCAGCTCAGGCTGCGCACGTCCCCAGCAGAGAGCGCGGTCGTGCCATACGACAGGACGCTGAACTCGGCGAACGTGTAGACGCAGGCGGCCAGCCAGGCCAGCAGGCACAGCGTCAGCAGGTGGCGCAGCGGCCGCCAGCCCAGATGGCTGCGGGACGGTGGCGACAGGTCAGATGGCGCCACTGAGGCGGCGGCCAATGTCAGACAGACGCGGCGGCGCGAGGTCAGGTGACCGCAAGGGCGTTGGCTGATGCGGTGGCTCGTGAGCGCACGGGGACACACGGGGCCCACAGCGCTGTGGGAGGTCACCGGAGTCTGACTGGACGAGCTGCCGATGGCCGCGGAACGGGGACACACGGGCCCACAGCGCTGTGGAAAGTTACCGGAGTCTGACTGGAGGAGCCGCCGATGGCCGTGGTGTTTTGTGAGAAGCTCCAAGGCGCTCGACTGCGGGGATCAGGAGCCCAAACATGGTCCGTCTTGAAGCAGATCTCAACCTGATCTCGGATCAAAACCGGAACTCGACAGGGAGTGGCAAACACAAGATCGAACCACTTTGCACGCGTCGGCGGAGAACCACGCTTAACACGTCGAAAAGATGTGTTTGGAGGGGTGGCCTGGTTGAAGACGAAACACGCCTGGGCTCGACACTCCCCGCGGTTCTATCTTAGATAAGCTATGCGAAGGTTAGCGTTTACAAAGGCAACATATGTAACGACCGTTGCCATATATCACTATGTACACACGCCTGAAGAGGTAATGGGATTAATTTCAGCTTCACCATACCAAAAAGTGCACGCAAATTTATTCCCAAGGTTAACACCGGGCTGGCTTGTAGCTGCGCTTGCATTGGGCACATCACAAACGTCGATTTAAGGAATGAATACCACAGCTCTACTGTGGTCGGTTATGTCTGGCGTGTGGCGTCAGCAAATTATACTGCGCAGCTTCGCGAGGAGTGGTGTTCGGCTTTAACATCCACCAGTTGTGGGCAGAGAAGCGTTGTAAACAGCCGCACGCCGGGGGCGACAAGCGTGTTTGCCCCCCCCCCCCCCCCCCACCCCCACAACGCATCCACCCTGCTTGAAGGCCTGATGTTTTGCGCCCCTCCCATACGTGTTCTTAATTTGACAGCAGCTGTTGTGAAATTGATGCGTCATGATGTTAGGGAAGCCTCAGTGGTGGTATCATAACGCTGGAGTAATCAGCCCGCCCTTGATGTTCGTCAGTGGTGATGTCATTTACACAGTGTAAATACCGACACCTTTGCCGAGAGCAGCAGTCTACGTTCTCCACCCGGTCACAAGTAGCCTAAGCAGCAAAGTGCCACATTGAATGCAAAGGAAGCGTCACAGCTGGTCACCGGCATCCGCCTAGCCCTTGATTCGATGCAGGACGCTACACTCTACACAGACATGCGTCGCTCCCCCGTCCTCGGTTCGGAAGCAGGCTCCGGTCCGCTGACCCTGGTGAAAGCGACACTTACTCGGCGATGAAATACAGGTGGTCGACGGCACATGCAGTGATCATCACGGCGAATATGTAGGCCAGCATGTAGTGATGAAGAAAGAACGTGTGATCAATGACGAAGTACGGCACGTAGTTGAAGGCGAAGCCCGCCAAGATCGTCTGGCAGATGGTGCACATCTTGGTCCACTCAGCTGAAATGGAAGAAAATCGTGAGATGAAGAGGTTGGTAGACAGGCAATGCTTTCAATGGCATCATGTCTTGCATGTCAAAAGGTTCTGCATACCGTCCCCGATGCAGAAGTCCTAGATTGTGATTTTAAGCCCAGACGCAGTTCCGCGAGCCGAACTTACCACGGCTTTAAGCGTCGTTGAGCCGCCCTGCCATGACGCCCGCAGAACGGACCGCGGTCCACGAGCGGCCCCGTAAACCACATCCGGTAAACGGAACCCAACGCGAGCGCAAGTCGACCCAGCGCATGACCTGCCGCCCCACACCGTGCCTGCCCCTCCTCCCCCGCCCCTCACACCGAGCCGCCACTGACCGTCGGGGATGTCGTAGCAGCCCCGGCGGCGCCGCAGCAGGTAGACCAGCGCCAGACCAGCGTATAGGCAGAGGGCGCCGCTGGCCGCCGCCCACACGGCCGCGTTACCCAGCAGGTGGATCTGGGCGTTACTGTGCGGACTGATCCAATAGGCCACGCCGCGCGCCATTGTCAGCCACTCGAACGGGTCGCTGGCGTACGTGTGGCCCTGCACCACCTCCTGGTTGTTGAAGAGCATCTTGAGCTGCAGCTCGTAAAACTTGCGCCAGAAGGACAGGTCCATGGCGGTGACGGGGATCAGGTCGCTGGCAAGCAGGTCCATCTGGCGTTCCGTTTCGGCGCTGCTCTCGGCTGCGAGACACGCGGCGGGGCACAGGTCAAGCCACGTGCCAGGTAACGGGCCCTCGTGGCGGGGATTGGGGCAATGAAGTCAGTTCTGAAGGCCGCTGGAGTGATCATGCGTAGTTCCGTCCCCGCCAACCGCTTCTGTTCGCATAGTGTGAACGTTGCTGTTGAGGAGAATAGCACGACTAATTGTTGCAACTGCACGAACATCATGTTCAAAGCATTCAGCTCTATGACTGACAGAATCATCGTCAGTACTGTCGTCCCCATCAAGTGCGTTAGAATGCATGCAACGTTTCGGCCGGCCAATGCACTGGTCGTGCTTAGCGGCGTTTTGAGTGCTGAGGATGACAACAACTCGTGGGAGCGCGCGCTCCTCTCCTCTCTTACCCTGGCCGTAGCGGTGCTCCTCGACGTTCCAGATCGTGTCGTCCTGGTTGATCACCTTGTCACAGACCACCTCCTGCTGGCTGTGCCCCCACTTGGGCAGCTTGCGACCCGAGTACTTCAGCGCCAAACCGTCGTTCGTGTGGACAAACCTCACCTGCGTGACGGACCGGAGGCGGCTCGTGACGCGTGGTGACGGAAGCCGACTTGAGCCACACGTGACACTTGCCTCTCACAACTAGTGCCGTCAATGACCCCGCCGACCGGCGAGAGTGTAGTATCTCAGGACAATTTCATATTTGAGGGACGAGAATGTAGGGTTCCAGAAGGTGTTGGAATCGATTCACATCAGCCGCTGTGCGTGCTCGGATCACGCCGCCTTTCCGAGTGTGTTCGGATGAATCTGACAAACGGCCGTGTTCAGGCCTCAGGTTCAGGCGCCTTCCCTGCAGGCGCCTGAGTTATTTCCAGAGAGATCACCCTACCTGCGAGCTGATGGCATGCCACACGCCGTCCGTCTCCTTCGGATTGACCAGCTGGACCATCCACAAGTCCTGCACGGGCAGCGAGGCGTTGACCTTCGTGTAGCAGCTCACTTCCTGCGGGGGTCAGGCATAGCCGTCGGGCCAGGTACCGGGCGTCGGCGGGAGACGCGATTCTTGGCACGGACTGGTTTCCATGGAGATGGAACTTGCTGGATGGGCTCAATCCTTCTCGCCAGAAGGTGACTTATTACACTGTTGGCTATCAAAAGCTATAATGAAACATAACGCTTAGCACATATAGGTATATATACATACATATATATATATATATACATATTAAATATATGCATATGTGTGTGTATATATACATGTATACATTTGCATGCATGTACATATACATATTTACGTTTGGTCCCAGGGTTGTCATTCCGGTCATAGTTAGTAACGAATAACGTTTTACATCGGATCATGATTACTCATGAAAAAGGGTATAGCTTGAAAGAAAGGACAAAAAGATACCTGTTCACTGCTCGACAATGGAGCCTTGAATTCGTTTGAGTTGAGGTGATTGCCGGTCAGGCCGTGTACTAGTTGAACGATGTCGCCATGCTTGAAAGGCTGGAATGGAGTTTGAACTCGAAGGTCCTTACTGAAACATGGACAGTTTTTTTTTATTTGGCACATATTGAGCTGTCTGGCGCGCGACGCTCTGAAAACAACATAATTAGGTACCTGCATGCTGTTACTTAAGATATCACAGCTTGATGACCATACTTCCATCAAGCAAAGAAAGCAAAATCCCATGGTAGAAAATGACTTACTCGCGCTACGCCGAAGTCATGGGTTTGTGAATGTTGAGAGCTTGTCCTAATGATAGGCTAACGCCAATGATAAGGGAAAGTGGCGGGAAAGGGTTGAGGGCGTAGTTAGCGATTGGCAATCTATGTCTCAGCTCCCCACCGCCGCCATCTTGGCACCCACGTGTCGGGATCCTTGACGATCCACCAATTGTTGACGTCCTTGCCGGAGAAGCAGGACACCTGCTGCTGGCTCGAGGAGTTGCGGTCCTCGTCGTCGTGGTCGTATACCGCCGGGTAGGGCGTGTCGTGCGAGTGCAACCAGCAGGGCCGGCCGAGCGCGTGCCGTAGCGTCACCTGGGAGCCGTGTCCTACCAGTAGCGGCTGGTTCTTGACGATGTTGGCGAGCCCGTCCTGCGGCGGCGCGGCGGCGTAAGCTCGCTTGGGTCAAGCGTCCTAGCAGCTGACACGGCGCGGTGGGGGATGCGTTCGTCAGCTTGCTGGGACCAAGCGTCCCACCAGCTGACACAGCGTGGTAGCGGATGCGTTCGTCAGCTCACAGTGGCTAAGCCTCCCGGCAGCTGACACGGCGCGGTAGGGGATGTGTTCGTTAGCTCGCTGGGGCCAAGCGTCCCAGCAGCTGACACAGCGCGGTAGGGGATGTGCTCGTCAGCCCGCAGTGGCCAAGCCTCCCGGCAACTGACACGGCGCGGTAGGGGATGTGTTCGTCAGCCCGCAGTGGCCAAGCCTCCCGGCAGCTGACACGGCGCGGTAGGGGATGTGTTCGGTACTCTCGGGCCGCAGGCGAGGCTCAGAGGCGACGCACGCTCTGTGAGTGTTAAGCTGCGAGGTGTGCATTATTTGCTGCCGAAAATGATATGCGACAACTTGGGTGTGTTGCCACGCCGCGCGCTGCATGAAGAAGACTTGCGGTCGCACAAATACTGGTCAGCCAGCGTGATGTCAATAACTGGGAACGGATGTCAGGAATGGAAAATCACAAAGCATTTTCGATTCAACATGATTTAGCTCAATCATCCACAAACAATGCCCGAGACCTACCTCAAAGTAATACCAGAAGATTGAGCCCCCAAATTTGCGAGCCGTTTCAGCGTGCATGCGTACCTCCAAGCTCGCCTGGAATGCGCTGGTCATGACGCCCTCGTGTCCGCTCCCTGCCTTGTAGAGCACGCTCAGGTGGGCGTAGAAGCTGCCCAGGTAGACGGCCGTCGGCACGGCCACCATCACCAGGCAGCGGACGGTCAGCTGAGCCGCCAGCTGACGGCCGCTGACGTCACGGCGCGGCACCAGCGTCCAGAAGTCGCGGTACACGATCACGCAGCCGAGCAGGAGCGGCATCAGCCCCGAGTACCGTACCCTGCGGCGACGAGCCGGGCGCCGCGCGCGTCAGTCGGGCACACACCGAGGTGAGAGGGCGCCCAGCGCCCGGCCGGTGCTCTGACGGCGTCACGTCAGCCGGAGCACACACCGAGATGAGACGGCGCCAAGCGCCCTGCCGATGCTCTGACGGCGTCACGTCAGTCGGAACACACACCGAGGTGAGACGGCGCCCAGCGCCCGGCCGGTGCTCTGACTTCATCACGTCAGCCGGAGCACACACCGAGGTGAGACGGCGCCCAGCGCCCGGCCGGTGCTCTGACTTCATCACGTCAGCCGGAGCACACACCGAGGTGAGACGGCGCCAAGCCCTCTGCCGGTGCTCTGACGTCATCACGTCTGCCGCACTCACGAGATACCACAAGCCGCGCAAACAAGCCGTCTGCTTTCGAATCAGAACAAGGTTTATTACCGGTTTTGCAGTCCAAGTTACCGCGGTCACCAATGACATTCTTATTCATAGCGAAAGACTATGACCCCGTGCAAAGCACGAGGGGCAGCAATCTGCTGGTCAACTCCGCAGGCCACCGCTCGCCATACTCACGCGGTGGCGGCGCCCAGGAAGCCAAAGCCGAGCACCATCCAGCCGAGCGCGGCAAGTGAGAGACGTCCGCCGCAGCGGCGGCCCCGCGCCAGGCCCAGCAGGCCCAGCACGGAGAACAGCAGCAGGAACGGCTCGAGGAACAGGAACCGTGACTGGGTCAGCAGCGCGTTCTCTGTCGGCGGAGCGGCCTCCGTGTGAGCGTCGGACGGGGGTTGGACGGGCGGCAGCCGCGCGTGCCGGAGGATTTATCCCGTCATGAGAGGAGCCCCAGCGTTGAGAGGTGCTCCAAACGGAGGGATGTCCGGCAGCCGCGAGAGGTGCTCCAGCCGCGAGGGATGCCCAGTACACAATATATGCTCCAGCTGCGAGGGATACAAGAGCCTAGTAAATACGCCAGCCTCATTGGAATATTGAACCACAAGAGATGACCCAGCCGTGGACTCTACCCCGAAAGGTGCGCAGCCCACAGGACTCCCAGGGATGTTCCAGCCGAGGGAGGCCTATTTCCAGAGGTGGTCTTGCTCCAGCAGATGCCTCAGCTGCTAGGGATTCTCAAGTACCAAGAAGTATCCCAGCTCTGAGCAATACCCCAGCTCTGAGTGATGTCTCATCTCTGAGGATGCACCAGCCCAACGAAATGTTCATCCAGGTGACACCGAAGCCCTGACAGCCGCGCAGCTTTCCGGGCCTTCCGTGCCCCTAGGCGAGATGCTGCCTCTGACTGGCTCCTGCTCTGGGGGCGCGGCAAGACCCTCCTCCTCCCACAGCCGTCCCGGGGCGTCTCACCGAGCAGCATGAGGATGCCGGCCAGGACGGCGGCGCGGCGCGAGACACCCAGCTCGCGCAGCAGGTGGTAGGTGGCGGGCAGCAGCAGCGAGCCGACCACCGCCGGCAGCAGTCGCATCCTCAAGATCGGCACTGAGTCCGGGTACGGCGTGCCGATCCTGTCGAATACGAACTCGCCTGCGACATGGACAGACGTGTCGAGGGACGGGCCGACCACGGGTGAGACGTGCCGAGGGACGGGCCGACCACGGGTGAGACGTGTCGAGGGACGGGCCGACCACGGCTGAGACGTGTCAAGGGACGGGCCAACCATGGGTGAGACGTGTCGAGGGACGGGCCGACCACGGGTGAGACGTGTCGAGGGACGGGCCGACCACGGGTGAGACGTGTCGAGGGACGGGCCGACCACGTGTGAGAGGTGCCGAGGGACCGGATGACCACGACTGAGACGTGCCTCATCCGTGGTCCCGCCCGCCACCAGCGGACGCGCGCTAGCCACGCCGGGCGTGCTGTTTTGCACAAAATGCAGACGTAACAAAGTGGTTGTGGTCAGTCCTCACTGACAAGCGTAAGGCGACAGGCTCAGGCTGTTGGCACAGAGCATGGCCACTTGCTTACCGTCAAAGCCGGCCAGGTAAGTGCCGAAAGCTAGCAGCTGCTTGCCAAGTGGAGGCTGGGAGTCGAAGAAAAACAAGTTCTTCAAGTAGTAAGCGGCGTATTTGCCATAATGCATCTCATCAAACCTGAAAGAATCCACTTAGTCAACGGTGCGAATGAACTGCACCGCATGCAGAGCACAGTGTTACCACTCTTTTCAATATGCTTTTAACACCCTTTTCAATCTGCTTTTCAATGTTGTCTGCCGTCGCGCAGACGGTGGCATGTAGTTACGTTCCTACGTCTGGGACAGTAAGGTAAATTAGTTCTCATTAATCATCACAATGCTCCAAGGCAGTTGGCGCGCCCTCAAAACTCAGTAACTAACATCGCAGGGCGCAATCCATCGTGGCCGCTACTAATGCTGGTTGCACCTCACGAAGCATACGTCATGAACTTCCGTCGGCATGCTGTTATCTCGTGAGCAATACCGGGGCGTGTTCGGCCCCTGTGCTGCATTCACGCTGTGGCCTCAGGCATGATCATACTGGCCGCAGGGTCAACGGGTGGGCTAAGCCAGGCAGTGCCCACAGACTGTGACCGGGGGCCCGTCGAGCGCCGGGTGTGGCGTACTCACACTACTGCCCGGGGCCCGTTGAGCGCCGGGTGTGGTGTACTCGCACTACTGCCCGGGGCCCGTTGAGCGCCGGGTGTGGTGTACTCACACTACTGCCCGGGGCCCGTCGAGCGCCGGGTGTGGTGTACTCACACTACTGCCCGGGGCCTGTCGAGGGCCGGGTGTGGTGTACTCACACTACAGCCCGGGGCCCGTCGAGCGCCGGGTGTGGTGTACTCACACTACAGCCCGGGGCCTGTCGAGGGCCGGGTGTGGTGTACTCACACTACAGCCCGGGGCCTGTGGAACGTGGCGTGCGGTGTACTCACACTACAGCCCGGGGCCCGTCGAGCGCCGGGTGTGGCGTACTCACACTACTGCCCGGGGCCCGTCGAGCGCCGGGTGTGGTGTACTCACACTACAGCCCGGGGCCTGTCGAGGGCCGGGTGTGGTGTACTCACACTACTGCCCGGGGCCTGTCGAGGGCCGGGTGTGGCGTACTCACACTACTGCCCGGGGCCCGTCGAGGGCCGGGTGTGGTGTACTCACACTACAACCCGGGGCCCGTCGAGCGCCGGGTGTGGTGTACTCACACTACTGCCCGGGGCCTGTCGAGGGCCGGGTGTGGCGTACTCACACTACTGCCCGGGGCCCGTCGAGCGCCGGGTGTGGTGTACTCACACTACAGCCCGGGGCCTGTCGAGCGCCGGGTGTGGTGTACTCACACTACAGCCCGGGGCCTGTGGAACGTGGCGTGCGGTGTACTCACACTACAGCCTGGGGCATGTCGAGCGCCGGGTGTGGTGTACTCACACTACAGCCTGGGGCATGTCGAGCGCCGGGTGTGGCGTACTCACACTACTGCCCGGGGCATGTCGAGCTGGTAGAGTCGGGTGGCCAGCCCCACCACCAGCAGGAGAAGTGCCGCCGGGTCCAGCAGACGGCCGGCAGGGGCCGGTTCAGCCGACCCCGCCTGCTGGGCTGACGCCGTCTGTGCATCTGGCCCCGGCTGCGGAAGGGACGTGACAGTCATCTCTACCAGTCGCCCGCAGCCACAGGAGCCGGAGCCAGCCGGCGCGACGGATCAACAGCGGACGGCACGCGGACACATTCAAGTCAGCTCGGCCATCGTTACCAGCGCTCATAACGACGAGTTAGAGGTGCGGACACATTTACACAAAGATAGGGATACCGTTGCGAGAGCTGTGCTATGCCTCACCATAACATACACTTATCCCGGTGCCAGCTGAAGTATTTCGTCAGTCCTGATCTTCCGGGAATGAAAAGAAACTGGATGTCTCGGTAGTCAGTGGTTCAGGCGGATAATTTCGACGGCAATTAACAGCCCTGGTCATACTCAGCATCAAATCATTGCAACACGTGTGACAGAACTCATGAACTCACAGCTGACTTGAACTCCCCAATAGTTATCGAGATTGACCGAGCGCTTGCAGCATTCAAGCACCCATATATGCTCATAGAGTTTTGCAATCGCCACATGGCAGCGTGTTCATCACCACCAGAGTATCCCATATGATTGTAGAAAAATCAGGTGGAAGTCCGGCACGGTCGAGGCAACTCGCGGGTCAGGTCAGTGACCGCGCGTTAACTTGCAGTCATTTTGTTGGTTACTTAATTATTGGGCTTCAAGAACGCGTCTAATGTCTTGGTACTTTGCGCCCATTGCTACCATTTCGAATCAATGGCTACGATAACATGATGACATGGCGTGAGTCATTCCTTTGTGAAATATGCTAGTTTTGCCGGCTTATTTACCAGCTTTTTATGCAGCACTTGATGCTGGCCTACGAAATGGTTTGAGATTCGATGTCACTCTCCAATACGGGATGCCGAACCCAGAGTCCAACGCTGACCTGCAGGCAAAGTTAACCTAGTTGCACACGCCATGCAGGATGGAACTTGCGGTGTTTTTGAATGTGCACGTATCCGAACAACGTATTAGTTATCTGAATCAACAGCTGCACGCATCTCTCCCCACTGTCATGGCTGTCCATACTATAGCTATCACATATGGAGTCGACCTCCCCGTCGAGACGCAAGGTCGTGCAGGAGGTGTGACTGGATAGGGCCTCTGCATGAGGCCTCTGCACGCAGGCACACCTGCACCTTCGGTCTTTCATCCCAGAGCTGTACTCTGCAGCCAAGTCCGTCCGCCCGCCGCTGGCCCCGCGCGCCAGCCGGCCGCCCGCCCCGGGGCCATGTCCGCGTTCCAGGGTCGCTGACCCCCGCGAGATGCTCTCCGCCGGGGCCCGGGCTCTCCGCGGCGGCGGCGGCGGCGGCGGCGGCGCCGCTGCTCGCAGGTGGAGCGGCTACGGTACGGAGGACGCAGTTGAACGTTGACGCACGGAGGGGCACTGGCCTGTAGATATGGGCGATCGTCGGAGAGCCCTACATCAATAGCATACTGGTATTATCACCGTCAATTGCGATATAGATGATAATGCACACCTTTGACATACACGAGTTTGGGTGGGAGTGCTGTGCGGGCAGCCTTTAGAGATCACGCGCTGTTAATTCTGCTCACCATCGTATCTATATTTAAATGTGACTCTTGTTCACTCGTAAGTGGCCTAAGGGAGCCTCAGCATCAATAATAATCACGGTCTCATGATCGGGGTGGTCTCCAACAGATGCGGTACTGAACAACCGTTTCACTCCGTTCAAATGTCCACGCGTTTTTGCTTTTTTTGGAATCACAAACACGTGTAGTTGAATGTAAGCGGGCTTGTGTTAACGTGTCCAGGAATGATCACATGACCTTATGCGGAGCGCTGACCAAACCAATTTGCCATTGAAAGCCTTCACGATGGTATCACCACACGCATAGCTTTGCTGCGAACACCCCCCTCTCCACCGCTCCCAACATGACGATCTCACCTAAAGCAGTGCATCGGCGCCCGAGAAAGCGCTGAGGGGGGGGGGGGGAGCCGCGACGCCACGCCGCCTGGAGGTCTACCTGGCGATCACTCACCCCGGCCGGAGGGCCGTTACCAAGGCGACCGGCCGGTGCGGCGCGTCTCGCCGAAGTGCGGTGCAGCGCGCTGGACAGTTGAAGCTCGACTCGGACCGGACAGGCGGAACCGGAACAGTGCACTGATTCTGTGCGGTGGGGCCTACTGGCCGGTGACCGGCTACGCGAGGCAAGGGGGCGGTGCTCCACAGAACCCACGGCACGGCTGTACTGACCAAATTGTCGCAAACAAAAAGGGGCAGAAGGCATTTTGATGTTCTAGTGTCGTTTGGAAAGTTCCGCGTGGCTTAGCCTATACCATGTCGAGGGAAAATATTAGGTCTAAGGTGGCCAGGGCTCGCATATTGAAGCATGATCTATCATGCAAGGGTTCGCCGGCCTTGGAGAAACACTGTGCATGAAGGTCATGCTACCAGCAGGCTCAGCCATCGGACGGGAATACTAGTGAGAGTCGTTAGGCACTCACAGACCTGCGGCCTGCGTTGTAAGGCCTCGCTCGTGGTGGTGGCGGAACGTCTGAGTAGTTGGGGGATGAGCTAAAGCAACTTATCACGTTTCTTATCATGCAGTGCCGTATGGTTATGGCTGTATTTTGGCGTAGAATGGGTAGATGAGTCCCATCTCTCTCCCAATACTACGCAAGTGCAAGCGTCAAAGGTGGGACAACTGCTTTCTGAAGATAAGCTGAAGGCTGACAGATACGCGTGCACGCGCTGCAAGTTATCCTCATGCATCCTCCTGCACACAGGTCAAAGCGTATGACGCAACCCACCTTCTTGGTGAGATTCCCTCTTGAGAGTTTTCAGCTTCTGCAGGCCGGAGTTGACCAGCTCCTCTCCTTGCACCACTTTCTCCCGTGATGGCGTCTTTCGTCTTCCCCTTCCTCTGCCGCACCTGTGCGTCCGCCTCCATCGTGTCAGAGTGGTGACCCCGCACTGCCGGCCGCCGCGTGCCGTCTGACGAGGCGCGGCGGCGCTCCGCCGGCCGGCGCTCGTGCGCCCCGGGGCCATACTGCCCGCCGCCCGCTGCCCGCCGACGCAGGCTCAGCTGGAGCGGCCGGCCGCCGACCACCTGACCACCTGATCACCTTCCACCGTCCTCCGCCACTGCACGTAGTACATACGCACCAGCCAGTCACCGGAAGACACCTCTTATGAAATGCTCGATACCCGGGCGTTTTCATGGTCTGACAATAAAACAAAATATTGGCATAAGAAGCAAAAGCTCAGAAGTAGGCGCAGGGGATCAAACAGCCAGGGTAATTAAATACTTCATGCTATTGGTGGTAGAGTCAACTCGTGTGTCAAGCGTGCACCCGTTCATGTCTGCAGACGTGTGTAACCGGGAGTTGTGGATCCGATAACTTGGCCATGGCGAGGGATACCTGGCGCGACAGTGTGTCGTCATTGTGTTGCATGTTAAAGCGTCGGATAATGTGAGATTCAGGTGTATCAAGTGCCTAACCGATTCACTGTCGTGACCCCCTGCGGCAATTTGTGTGCTTCCTGTCAGAGATTTGACTGACAGAGTCGCGCAGACTGGAGTCGACCCCTATGGACGACATGCATATTTTTGGTTGACCGCAGTATCTTTGGACATATCTGTTGCATCCGGCCTGCTAGCATTGAATGATTGGCTGTCCAGGGAAACAGCCTAATTAAATCTGATGCCCTCAGCCGACAAATAGTTTTCAGTGCAAGCTGATAACCCTACATTAGTGATACTAAATGCACACAGTCCCACTGTTGCAGCGTGATTCAAGCATTTTTCGGACTTCCATTTGCTGGCCATCACGCTGCGGGCGGGCGGGCCGTGTTTGGTCGATGATTGCAGCTGACAGGCCACAGCAGAGGTATGGAATACACAGACTGCATGATTCCCACAAAACTTCAAGTATTTTCGCGTGTCGCTGTGCGCTGGCTAACAGGCCACTGGCCGAGCGAACGGACAGCAGGGGACACCAGCCGACTACCGATTTACAGGGCCGATCGATGATGCTGCCGCAGTAAATATCGTGTGAGCCCGGCGCACCCGATGCGCGCGAGAAAAAGCAGTTATAATTTGCTTATGTGCAAATTGCCGTTGCAGTCGTGCCACCACAACAGTAATCCGCTGCCATGGCGTCAGACGAGAAGATTGCAGGCGTTCGGCCCAAAAGTATTCTGCAATGCGGACCAATGCCCCTGAAGCAATGATGACAAACGTTCACGGCCGCACGTTTCGAGTACGACGATAAGCATTTTCGCGGTCCGCCATTTGCTGGCCATCACGCTACATGGTCTGGCCGGTCACATTTAGTCATACGCCGTCGGGGGGGGGGGGGGGGGAGATACAGCAAAAAACCTCGTGTCGGACGACTGATGATGTACATTACCTGCCGATGGTACTCCCACAGTGATATCGTGTGCATACGGCAACATGTTGGAATGCTGCCGGCTGTGTGGCGGTGGACACGGAAGTTGAGGAGCTGAGAGATGATCAAGTCACGTGTCTTATGATGACCAGATTTATTCACTTGCCGCCACATGGTGTCATAAGACGTCACAAGGCAGACACACGACTGCCCGTCCTCGTGCAAAGCTGGACTTCTCAGCGTTTGCCCTGAGATACGACTGGCTTATCCCACGCCTTGACTAAGCCGATTACGCAACTGTGACCGAGCTGGTATTAAAGTCCTCGCCCGTCCAAACAGCCATTTTCTTCTACAGTGCCGGTAGTGTGACCGAGGGGAGAGAACGCTGTTTTTTACCGTGGGGGCGGAGACTGATGAATTACCTTCACTGCTCGAACTCTTTGGACTGTACTGCACTCCCCGGAGGACGCCGTTCTGCAACCTTTACTGTGCCACCATCGCGCCCGAGAACCTGGCGAAACCCAAACCTAGCCTGAGCTCATCTGACTCCAGTGACCTCAACTCACTTAGTGCCTGTTTTAACGGAGCAAGTCTTTCGATGGTTTTCGTTATTTTTATAGTGCTCCTGGTGACCTGCACCAAGACCAGTCGTTCAACAGAGATCGTTTTAGAGATACTGGAGTAGCTGGGGCTATTCATTACCTTTTTTGTTGCTCTGACATATCTGATCATGTTGTCGGCATAATGTTTTTGTTGACAGATTTGGAAATATTTGGGTTACTTATTAACACCCCAGTGGTCACGGACGCCGAAATACTAGTCAGTGCCGGGTACCGTGGGTTGTATTACTCACCGCCAGACGGCAGCACAGTTCCGCCGTCGGCAGCAGAGGCCGGGTTTCCGGGCCTGGCCAGTACACCACCGTTGGGCTGATGGCGTGCGGCACGCTGCCCGTGATTGACCTGAGCCTGGCCAGCGGGCCGGACCGGCCTGAGGTGGTCCGCCAGCTCACACAAGCCCTGGAGACAGTCGGCTTCTTCTACGTCGAGGGCATCGACGGCTATGACGAGGAGCAGCTGATGACGCACACAAAATGGTAAGAAGTAACAGCTCAAGATTTTCGTAAGCTCACACGCCGAGGAAAGCACCTTTTAACCTTTTTCCCTGCTGACTGTGAGGTTTACATCAACCTGCGGAGGGACAGAATTCCCCTGGAGATATCGAGAACCACTTCTCAATGCGTATCGGACAGAAACCATTGGCGTTGTCGCAACATCTTTGTCTCATCGATATATTTATTTGTAAACACACACACAAGTAACAAGTTTTTGAAGAGCTGCCTCTCGGGTAAAGAAATTGCAAACATTTGTAAAAGTTGGGTGATGGACGACAACACGTGGTGTGGTGCACCACCTGAAGCCAGCACGCTCCCACCCTGCCCAGGGGCGACATCACACAGCGGCGGTGTTCCACGGCGCGCGGTGTGGTGGATGGCTGTTTTCATAGCGCGATATTGCCACTCCACGGTCAATGATGGGGATCACAGATGTGGCAGAGAAAGAGCGAGGAGGCAGACCACCTGCCGAGCCAGACACCGCCGCTCGGACATATACACTTACAGCGCATACGCCTGGTATGCGGCTCCACTGGACAATGTCGCCCGCCGAGGTCGGCACCGTTAGCAGCTGATCGTGCTGGAACGACGCGCTCTTCTCGGCTTCTTAACCCACAACTCTGACGGCTGGACCACTGCCCACGACGAAGCGGGCTTAAAACTTCAACTTTGTGGTGGTGCAGGGCTTTTACTATTTTCGGCCGACCGATGAAATCCGGTCAAGTGAGTTAAATTACATGCTTATATTTCATTTGTTTTTACTCCACAAACATCTTAGCGAGGACGCAAAGAGGCTTTAGGTCAAAATGGGCTACCACTTACTTACAATGGGTGGTATGTCGTCATCTGAGGTTTTGCCTAATCACCACCTTGAACACGGATGACTCTGTGCCCACAACTTTGATGTACGATGATGATACAGTGCATGCACTAGTTGTATCACTTTTGCTTTTCATGAATTTAAATACGTGGCCAGGCGTAGCTGTGATGCCGGCTAAGTCAGACTGCGATACCAAACAGCTCACGAGACCGTCATTTGAGGTCACGAATGTAATTGTTGGCCTCGAATGACAGCTTGTCAGCATTGACACCCGCAACTAATTTTTAATCGTAATAAAGTGGTCTTGTGAGTTATTTTAACCAGTCACTGACCTAAAATGATCCAGGTCAATATTTCGTTTTTAGGAGCACACTACCTTGCGTAATATTTGTCCGCTATTCAAATGAAAAACTTAAGGCAGTTTTCTATTATTTTGGCCACCATGACATCCAAAAGGTTAGACAGGATCACTGATCTTGAATGAGCATGTGACCTTTCGATTAGAACAGGTGTCTAGGTTCTGGAGACACTTTGGAGACTAACCTATAGTTTGACCTTGTTTGACTCATTTGACTCGACAGTTATGATCTAGGAATCTGAAATTTTGACCTAAGTGAGTTCACGTACAGCCCAACACCTCCTGTGAATTTGGTGTCTCTAGCGCTCTTAGTTCCTGAGACCTTAGGGGGTCAAATTGACCCCCACCCGAGCGAAGGGTACCTAACCGGCCACCTGGGTGCATGTTGAACCGATGTTATCCTCAAAGTTCACAACGTTACCATCTACGCTACGCCTACATTCGAGTGTATTTTATCGTGCCCCGTGTTGTTTCAGGTTCTTTGACTTGCCGGACCATGTGAAGATGGGCATTGCCAGAAGCAACTTCAACCCGACCACACAGATCCGTTATAGAGGCTATTTTCCCGTGGACAAAACCAATGCGTCCCATAAAGAAGGTAGTAGCCCTTTCACTAAGGTATCTAGTTGCGCTTATCAAAATGCCCCGTTCCTTCTGCGACAAACAACCCGAAGGAGTCTGTTTTCACGTGTGCCGCATCAACCTTTACTATATGAATGCAAAGTAATGCAGTGTTTTTAGCGGGCTGCCTGACG